GGAACCTTCATTTTTATCCCGGTGACCTAGAAAATAAGTCAAGGTCATTTATTAATGTGTAGAGGCAACCTTGTAGCCCCTTTTCTCAGACCATCAAAAATGACCCTCTGAAATTTCTGAAACATGAGAAGGTTCCAACATATGTATAGCTTTTTACCAAGCATATAATTTAACCTTTGACCCTGCTTATACAGAAGATATATAGCTATATATAAAATATTTCCCAGCAGATCCACATGATCTGTCGTTGTTATTCTGAAGTATCACACCCCTAAACCTTATGGATCTACAGTTTTCAACACATTTCAACACTTTTACCTTTAAAGAAGGTCAAGGCCATTTAACTGAGAAAACTATCTCAGGTATCTACCAACCAAGTAAAAAACGTTTGTAGAGGCTGTTTAGGGTAAAAGATGGCAGACAAAGTGATGGTGAAATGACAGCTGGACAGGTGTATGGACTACAGATACTGTACTTTATCTGATAAAGATGGAGAACTTGTTTCTTCAATTACTGACACAGATCATCTATCATTAAAATTGTATCTTAACACAAGCCTTTGTTTACCAATTTTCTCTCCAAACTACACATTGTTATTTAATAATGTCAGTTATTGGGTAAAGCTGTCACAATATTCATTACCATGTGTTATGCATATCATGTGTTACTCTATGTTACCAAGGTTAACAGGGTGCTTCAGCTAACAATAACCCAATTTCAATATGGATCATGGTACAGCCACTTCACAAAGCTAAACAACTTGTTGTTTATCCCCTCACATGTAATATATTGAACTGTTCCATATCTACCATGTTAAAGGTAAACAGGGTGCTTGCCCTCTCATACCAATATTGAGTTGTTCCATTCTTACCATGGGTTTGAAGGATGTAGACCCCCACTCTCCTCCCCCTTAAGAATGGACTGGTCTGATCCTCAGTAATCTTACAGTTACATCAACTACCCTGTCAAATCTATTTAGTATGGGGAGAAAAGCTAGCTGTAGGGGAATCTAATCAGATAACTGAAGTGTGGGATGATTAAGGAAGGAATTCAAGAAGGGAGAGATATGGAGAAGAATATACATGATAGACAGAAAGAATACAATAGGGATAAAAACAGGAATGTAGATGGTAGAGAGGAAGCAAAAAAGATGCAGAAACCCATCAAGCGAAAGAAAGTGTATGGGGAAACAGTGAGGAATATAGAGGATAGAGCAAAGAAATGAATGAATGTGAAGAAGGCTGATATTTAGAGGGTATACAGAACATGTGATGAGATGTAGAAAAGAAAGAGGATGGAAAGAAAGAATACATGAAACATGTCGAGCATACAGATATAAAGGAGCACATAAGTTATATAATGGAATGTAGAGGAACATAGATGATATAGAGGATGAATGAAGAAAGGTGTGAAGGACACAGGTATTGAGGTGCACTGAAGGTATGATACAATATAGAGGGATACAGATGATAGAGAGAAAGAAAAAGACAAATGTGAGAGACACAGGTATAGAGATGTACAGAAAATTTGATGGCATGCAGTGGTAAGTAGATGATAAAAGGAAGGAATGAAGAAGGATGTGAGGGAAACAGATATAGAGTTACACAGTAGGTATGATGGAATTTAGAGGAATTTAGATGATAGAAAAAAAGAAATGAAGAAAGTTGTGAAGGATACAGATATAGAGGTAGTAGGTAATGATAAATGTTCAGGGAAAGTATGATAGAATGTAGAGGAAACCTGGATTGACAGAAAGAATGAACAAAGAGGACACAGATGTATAAAGAGTATAGAGAACGTGATGGAATGTTTAAAAATAAAGAGAATATTATTATATTATATAGTTAATATTTTTTGTTACGTTGTATAATTTATCTCTTGTGTTACATTGTATAATTTATCTCTTTTGTTACATAATTTTCTCTTGTGTTACATTGTAAAATTTATTTCTTGTATTACATTGTATAATTTATCTCTACTGTTACATTGTATAATTTATCTCTTGTGTTACATAATTTATCCCTTTTGTATAAAATTTATTTCTTGTGTTTACATTGTAAAGTGTTATTGTAAAGTTTATCTCTAGTTTTTATCGTATAATTACATTACAGAGTTTATCTCTGAGTTACCTCGTTTAATTAATCTCTTATGTTTACACTGTATATTTGATCTCTGCTGTTACATTGTATTGTACATCTCTTGTGTTACATGGTTAAGTTTATCTCCAGTTTAAACTGTATGGTTTTTCTCTTGAGTTACCTTGTATAATTTATCTCTACTGTTGCATTTTATCATTTATCTGTAGTGTACCATTGTATAGTGTATCCCTTGTGTTACATCATATTTAGTTTATTTCTGTAGAGTGTTTATCAAACTTGATGTGAAATATGTGTTTATCTGTTAATGTCATGTCTGCTTTAGGTTGTAGATGAAATATATTTTGACATGAACAGTCAGTTTTTATGATGAAAGCAAAATCAATAGAAATTTACATCCTCAAAGTTCCCAGTCAACAGCAACATGGTGCAGTATATCATTCTTAATGTAAACAATAGCCCTATGGACAAATATCTACCTGATGATGACAGTCTTTGTGATATCTAAAATCACTTATTAGGCACTCACCGTTTGATGTATCAAGTATTTTACTTAGTTACAACAAGTGTTAATGGTCATATGGCCTGTATATCACAAAATCCACAGGGCCTGTAACTTACATAAAGGTCTACAGGGCCTGTAACTTACATAAAGGTCCACAGGGCCTGTAACTTACAAATAGGTCTACAGGGCCTGTAACTTACAAATAGGTCTACAGGGCCTGTAAGGGCCTGTAACTGACATAAAGTTTTACAGGGCCTGTAACTTACAAATAGGTCTACAGGGCCTGTAACTTACAAATAGGTCTCCAGGGCCTGTAAGGGCCTGTAACTGACATAAAGTTTTACAGGGCCTGTAACTTACAAATAGGTCTACAGGGCCTGTAACTTACAAATAGGTCTCCAGGGCCTGTAACTGACATAAAGGTCTACAGGGCCTGTAACTGACATAAAGGTCCACAGGGCCTGTAACTTACAAATAGGTCTACAGGGCATGTAACTTACATAAAGGTCCACAGGGCCTGTAACTTACAAATAGGTCTACAGGGCATGTAACTTACATAAAGGTCTACAGGGCCTGAAGCTTACAAAAATGTCTACAGGGCCTGTAACTTACATAAAGGTCCACAGGGCCTGTAACTTACAAATAGGTCTACAGGGCCTGTAACTGACATAAAGGTCTACAGGACCTGTAACTGACATAAAGGTCTACAGGGCCTGTAACTTACATAAAGGTCCACAGGGCCTGTAACTTACAAATAGGTCTACAGGGCATGTAACTTACATAAAGGTTTACAGGGCCTGAAGCTTACAAAAATGTCTACAGGGCCTGTAACTTACATGAAGATGAACATGGCCTGAAGCTTACAGAAAGGTTTACAGGACCTGAAACTTACAGAAAAGTTTAAATGGCTTTAAAAACTTATTATGAAAATTAAAACAAACACACATAGGGTTTTTCACATTTTATAATTTAAACAATTATATTGATAAACATAACATTTTAAACACAATTAGCTCTAACTTCATTAGCATGGCTAAACTAGAAACCTTCATTTCTGATCAACATGCAAGGTATCAGTGATTACAAGCTGATGGCATGGTGTGTTTACGGTGTGTTGATGGTGTGTTGATGTTGTATTGATGGTGTGTTTACGGTGTATTGATGGTGTGTTGATGGTGTGTTTACGGTGTATTGATGGTGTGTTGATGGTGTGCTGATGTGAGTTGTTGTGTGTTGATGGTGTTTTGATGCGAGTTGTTGTGTGTTGATGGTATGTTGATGTGAGTTGTTGTGTGTTGATGGTGTTGTCGTGTGAGTTGTTGTGTGTTGATGGTGTTTTGATGTGAGTCGTTGTGTGTTGATGCTGTTTTGATGTGAGTTGTTGTGTGTTGATGGTGTGTTGATGGTGTGTTGATGTGAGTTGCTGTGTGTTGATGGTGTGTTGATGTGAGTTGCTGTGTGTTGTTGGTGTGTTGATGGTGTGTTGATGGTGTGTTGATGGTGTGTTGATGGTGTGTTGATGTGAGTTGCTGTGTGTTGATGGTGTGTTGATGGTGTGTTGATGGTGTGTTGATGTCAGTTGCTGTGTGTTGATGGTGTGTTGATGGTGTGTTGATGGTGTTTTGATGTGAATTGACTGTGTGCTGTTTTTTGAGTTAATGGTTCGTTAATGTGAGTTGATGATATTGTGAGTTGATGATATTGTGAGTTGATGATATTGTGAGTTGATAATGATGTTTGTTGTTTGAACTTGGTATTATGGTGTATATAAAGGAGCTTACAGTGTGTTTTTGATGTATGTCCAGTCATCTGGAAGTGCCATTTAAATTCTCCTTATACAATATCTTTTGAAGATAAATGATTGAACTGTAAAGCAGGACACTATACACTCCACGTCACTGCTACAGTTTACATAATAAGTAAGCACCTTACACATATGAAAGTACATCCTAAACCAACTACCTCAGAATAAACAAGCATCTTCAATCTCCTCACACAAGCACCTCATACCACTTCAAATTTCCACCCATATACAAATCCCAACCTGGAATGACAGAGCTACATCATACGAGACCATGGTCATATGTATCACCATATGAAAAACGTTTGATTAACATAATTGTACGGCTCTTGATTATACCATCTTCAACAAAGCACTTGTTATATTTTCTCACATGGCAGTAAACCAAGTACTGATGACATATTCATCTACAGCTTTTGGTATCAAAGACAAGATGATTGGTTAAGTTAGTCCATCACTTTTTGCAATCAAGACTCTGATTGGTTCAGTGTACTCTCAGTCCACAAATGTGTGTAACAAAGACTCTGATTGGTTCAGGGTACACTCGGTCCACAAATGTGTGTAACAAAGACTCTGATTGGTTCAGGGTACACTCAGTCCACAAATGTGTGTAACAAAGACTCTGATTGGTTCAGGGTACACTCGGTCCACAAATGCATGTAACAAACACTATGATTGGTGCAGTGTACACAGCTGTGTGTAACAAACACTCTGACAGGTTCAGTGCAATCTTGGTCCACAAGTGTGGGTAAAAAATATTCCAATATGTTAAGTGCGTACTTTGTCCACAACTGTGTGTAACAAAAACTCTGACAGGTTCAGTGCAATCTTGGTCAACAAAAAGTGTGGGTAAAAAATATTCCAATTGGTTAAGTTGGTCCACAAGTGTGTACAACAATGTCTCTGATTGGTTCAATGTACACTTGGTCCACAAGTGTGTATAACAATGTCTCTGATTGGTTCAGTGTACACTTGATCCACAAGTGTGTATAACAATGTCTCTGATTGGTTCAGTGTACACTTGGTAAACAAGTGTGTATAACAATGACTCTGATTGGTTCAGTACACACTCAGTCTACAACTGTGTGTAAAAAGCAGTCTGTTTGTTATCGTGTACATCAGAACCTGACCCTGTGATCCCAAGCATCACCAAATGTAATATTTTTGACTCACAGGTAAAATGCATTTGTTGCTTATTTGCGACTGTTGACGGTGATGAAGTTGATGCTGATATTGTGTGCAATGGAACACTCAGGACAGTGACAGTCTGTGTGCCCACAAAGCTGACGTAAACCCTTCCGAAACTCCTGACTCATTGCTAAATACACAAAAAACTTGTAGAAAGAGTTACCGATAGCTATCCACAATAGATAAAAGTGAACACGGTGGGGATAGGGGGTGTACTGGTCTATAAACGCACCATACAGTTGTAACATTAACCATGGCAACCAGGCGATGCAGAAGATTATCGTCACTACAAAGTTCATGAAGTAATTTCCTGGCCGTGAGGCTGTGTCAGGTAAAATAGTCTCAAACATGTAACGTTTCTTTTGGAATGGGCGTGTGAAAATATATGCATTGGTAACGATGAGTGCCACTACTGCGGGAAACATCACCAAAACACCAGCTGTCACAAAATATGGCTTGTGTGGTCCGGCATCTATGGAACAGATGAAAACTTCCTGGTAAAAATTTGCCCTCTGAAATGAAAAGAGTGGCGGGCAACAGAAACTGATGGCTCCAAGCCACGCAAACAGAATCCAGCACATAGACCGAGTAGGGGTCATTGCGATTTTATGTCTCTGTGGTTTCCTGACCGCAAGGTAGTGGTCAACACTCATCCAAGACATTGAATACAAACCTGCGATGAAGAACACAGCCAATAGGTAAGCCTCAAAGTGGCAAAACTTCTCATCATTATAAATCCAATTTTTACTGAAGGTACTGAACACAGCAAACGGCGTTATAAACACACCAACACACAGGTCAGCCAATGTGAGTGAACAGAAGTAGATCTTGTTCAAGTTTCTGAAGGACTCTGTACATGCCACCACCAATAAGATGAGGGTGTTGGAGGTGACTATGGCTATGGTGTAGACCATGGTGATAACGCTCTCTGCGTAGTACTCCATCACTGCCTGTCAACGATAGACAATAACTTACCTATGTTTGGGAGACAAAATTCATCGCAGATACAATTCAGATCGCTGAAGTATATATGAGTCACATCTATTTTCCTGTCTGAGTTGAGAGAGCTAATTTAGAATTACCCTCTGTCAGGAATATCCTCTTCTCAATAACAATCCCCCTATCAAACTTGACGATTTCAATTTGCTTAAAATCTGAACAGCATCGTCATTGATTTTGAGAAGATTAATTTGGTAAAGCTTCAATATGGCAGCTGGAGAAAACGATGCTCAATATAATCTCTATGACGATTTAAAACAAACTATCAGAATAATAAGGATTACATTAGAGATTCCTCGTCAGGGATCTGATCTCTGGCAGTAAAATGATACCTACAGGTATTTATCAGCTCACGATTCCATGGAAAACCTCGCCAGGATAAGCTCCGGGAGTACACCTGGTATCTGTGGGAGTACATGCATGCAGTAAACGGTACTACAATACAGATATCACCTTGGTTCCGTTAGCTGTATTCCTGTCAGTTAGTGTAGGTGTGAATTCCTTTTGTCACCTTTAATCCTGTGTCATGGGGCCTGACCAGTGGTGCAGGTTATCGTCTTTAATCCTGTGTGGTGAGGCCTGACCATTGGTGCTGGTATTGATCTGGTAGTATCCCTTGTGTGTAGAAGACAACAGTGATTTCTATCAGGAACACAACATACCAACAATCTACGTAATCACCATCATCACTGTCTCCAAAACTCATACACAGTAGGCTGGTAGATTTTGTTCTCTTTCCATCCAGTGGCAATTAATTAATTCACCATTTGTTTGACTATAATACACATGTGCACACGGGGAACCATTGTCACACTGGAATCAATCGGCCGTGTTAGAGTCAGGTAGTAGTGTTATAGCAGCTGATCATTGGCCTCAGCAGGATTCTGAACATCTACAATCAGGTCCTAACACCACAAGCCATTATGTCACACTTCAGTCACTCTCTGAAACTGGTTCCAACTATTACAGGATTTCTTTGAGACCAAAGTCACTCTGAGTCATTAGTCACACATTACTTGGAAGTGAATGAGAGATGAACACTTTCCCTTGCTCACAATTTCAATATCTGAGTGGAGTAGAATTAGCCAGATCTGCAGGGCTTACTCTGACATGTCCCTTATTTCAGTGAGGTGGTAAAAGGATAAGTTACCTGGTAAAAAACAAAGAAAATCATGTCAGTAACTTTAACTGTATGTAAATCACTAGATCTCTCCACAAAGACAACCTCACCATACATACAGACAACCTCACCATACATATACCTCATCATATAGACACCCTCACCATACATATACCTCATCATATAGACACCCTCACCATACATACACCTCATCATATAGACACCCTCACCATACATATACCTCATCATATAGACAACCTCACCATACATATACCCCATCATATAGACACCCTCACCATACATATACCCCATCATATAGACAACCTCACCATACATATAGACAACCTCACCATACATACAACCCATCATATAGACACCCTGAACATACATATACCCCATCATATAGACACCCTCACAATACATATAGACACCCTCACCATACATATACCCCATCATATAGACAACCTCACCATACATACACCCCATCATATAGACACCCTGACCATACATATACCCCATCATATAGACACCCTCACAATACATATAGACACCCTCACCATACATATAGACACCCTCACCATACATATACCCCATCATATAGACACCCTTACGATACATATACCTCATCATATAGACAACCTCACCATACATATACCCCATCATATAGACAACCTCACCATACATATAGACAACCTCACCATACATACACCCCATCATATAGACAATCTCACCATACATATACCCCATCATACAGACAACCTCACCATACATATACCCCATCATATAGACACCCTCACGATACATATACCCCATCATATAGACAACCTCAACATACATATACCCCATCATACAGACAACCTCACCATACATATACCCCATCATATAGACAACCTCACCATACATATACCTCATCATATAGACACCCTGACCATACATATAGACAACCTCACCATACATATACCCAATAGACAACCTCACCATACATATACCCTATCATATAGACAACCTCACCATACATACACCCCATCATATAGACAATCTCACCATACATATACCCCATCATATAGACAACCTCACCATACATATACCCCATCATATAGACAACCTCACCATACATATACCCCATCATATAGACAACCTCACCATACATATACCCCATCATATAGACAACCTCACCATACATATACCCCATCATATAGACAACCTCACCATACATATACCCCATCATATAGACAACCTCAACATACATATACCCCATCATATAGACAATCTCACCATACATATACCCCATCATATAGACAACCTCACCATACATATACCCCATCATATAGACAACCTCACCATACATATACCCCATCATATAGACAACCTCACCATACATATACCCCATCATATAGACAACCTCACCATACATATACCCTATCATATAGACAACCTCACCATACATATACCCCATCATATAGACAACCTCAACATACATATACCCCATCATATAGACAACCTCACCATACATACACCCCATCATATAGACAACCTTACCATACATATAGACAACCTCACCATACATATACCCCATCATATAGACAACCTCACCATACATATACCCCATCATATAGACAACCTCACCATACATATACCCCATCATATAGACAACCTCACCATACATATACCCCATCATATAGACAACCTCACCATACATATACCCCATCATATAGACAACCTCACCATACATACACCCCATCATATAGACAACCTCACCATACATATACCCCATCATATAGACAACCTCACCATACATACACCCCATCATATAGACAACCTCACCATACATACACCCCATCATATAGACAACCTCACCATACATATAGACAACCTCACCATACCTATACCCCATCATATAGACAACCTCACCATACATATAGACAACCTCACCATACATACACCCCATCATATAGATGACCTCACCATACATATAGACAACCTCACCATACATATAGACAACCTCACCATACCTATACCCCATCATATAGACAACCTCACCATACATATAGACAACCTCACCATACATACACCCCATCATATAGATGACCTCACCATACATATACCCCATCATATAGACACCCTCACCATACATATAGACAACCTCACCATACATACACCCCATCATATAGACAACCTCACCATACATACACCCCATCATATAGACAACCTCACCATACATATAGACAACCTCACCATACATACACCCCATCATATAGACAACCTCACCATACATATACCCCATCATATAGACACCCTCAACATACATATACCCCATCATATAGACACCCTCACCATACATATAGACAACCTCACCATACATACACCCCATCATATAGACAACCTCACCATACATATAGACAACCTCACCATACATATAGACAACCTCACCATACATACACCCCTATCCCATAAACAACATCACCTCATACACCTTATCACATCACATACCCTCCCTATGGCATACTATTTAGTCCACAGTGGCTATATAATAAGTAAACCTACCTGTTAATAGTGCTTGTAGCAAGCCACTTGGATATGGTCACACAACAGTTCACTGGTGATGACTGTGCAGTCATCAGTCATTTGCCATTGTCCATGTTGTTAAGAATTGTCTGGTATCTCTCACTAGTAAAGCCCTTTTCAGCGAGTCTCATTATAAAATAAATCTAACTTGTTTTGATCAGTCTCACAACTGCTGCATCCAGTAGTGCTTTTAGGCATCCTTCTACAAATTGTAGTTCAACACAATATTCAATTATAAGTATTGAGCAGTGTAGCCGTAGCCCAGGGGCAGAAATAACAATGACATACACACTGTGCTCTAACAGTCTATCTGAGATAAAGAATACCACAGCTTGGTCAGCAGGCGTCCAGTCTCTGACTGATTGACCAGGTGTATGGACCCAGGGAGGCTGATATAGTACCACCTGGTTCTAACATACCAGTCCTACCACGTAGCACCAGTCATATGATATATGGTATAATGAACAGTACTATCATAGCCAGATCTGTGTGTTTGATGAAGCTTTTACTCTGGTTAACACACAGGCTGCTGTTTTATAATCGTAATGTGTCCATATTTTGAAGTACGATGCTTTCTGTGATACTCAATATAACTGATGATTAGCCTTGCTTTGTGATGTATCTGCATAGCAATGACATATTGTGGAGATCTGCTATAACTATGGTCCTCCATGGAGATTTCCTGTCATTATTATCCTTTGTGGAGGTTTGCTGTAACTATGGTTGTCTGTAGAGATCTGCTGTAAATATTATCCTCTGTGGAGATCTGCTGTAAATATCATCCTCTGTGGAGGTTTACTGTAAATATCATCCTCTGTGGAGGTTTACTGTAAATATCATCCTCTGTGGAGGTTTGCTGTAACTATGGTTGTCTGTGGAGATCTGCTGTAATTATTATCCTCTGTGGACGTTTACTGTAACTATGATCAGTAACCGTTTCGGTATGGACATGCTGCATAACTAAAATCTGCAATCTTTGTGAATTTTACGATTACTATATCTCCTATATGTCTCCCTGCCTTTATGTAGTTCTCCTGTAAGTAATAAATCGTGGCTGTATTGATCAAGCCTCCCATTGGTACTCAATACTCGATACATCAGTAGTAATCTTTGCTGTGATACCTATCGTATAAATCCTTGCCAGCCTCATTTAACAATGTCTGGATCTGCATTGGCACAGCGACACATCCTCACTCAGCTCAAATATCCCCTGTCTACCGACATGGAAATCATTTATTCCATCATAAATTCTCAGCAGAA